TCCGGAAGCAGCAAGCATAACTCTTCCCGAAGACACCGAGCAGCAGCAGCAGCAGCAGCAGCAGCAGCAGCAGCAGCAGCGGGCAGCAGCTGGAAGGAGATATCACTAAAGACCATCATATTGTCTTTAGGAAATACACTTTGCCCAACCACGGCCCTTACAAAGAGTGCAGAAGAAAAAGAAATAAAATCAGGTGGAGAAATTAATTAATTAAATTAAATTAAATTTGTTTATTTAATTATTTAAATGAAATAAATTAATATTATTTAAATTCTATTTTCTTTTTATTTCCACTTTATTTAATTTGTAATGGAGTTTTTGCAAATTTAATTCAAAGAAGTACTTTTTTTCGGTGTATCTGCACTTTGCATGCGTTTTGGAAAAGTCTGCTTTTATCGACAGCTGCTTCTGCGACGCAAAGACGCAGCCTCTGCTGCTGCTGCTGCTGCTGCTGCTGCTGCTGCTGCTGCGGTTTACTGTGTTGCTGCTGCTGCTGCTGCTGCTAGAATGACCACTGCTGCTGCTTCTGGTGCCGCTGCCTGTGCTGCCACTGCCCTACAACTTCCACTACGCCTACTGCATCACCTCCCTCACCCGCCGCCGCTGCTGCTGCTGCTGCTGCTGCTGCTGCTGCTGCTGCTGCTGCTGCAGGTTCACGCCGGCGCAGGTGCGGGCTTTGGTTTCGGGGCTGCAGCCGGGAGTGACTCTGGTTGTGGGGCCGCCGGGCAGCGGGAAGACAGACACAGCAGCACAACTTGCTTATTTGCTGCACCAAGGAAATCCAGAAGAAAGGATTTTATTAGTTGCTCATTCAAATAGTGCATTAAATGATCTTTTTAGAAAAGTAGCAGCACTGGACGTGGACGAAACGAAGTTGCTGCGCCTCGGGAGAGGCTCGCTGGACCTGCAGCAGCAGCAGCAGCTCTGGCAGCAGCAGCAGCAGCAGCAGCAGCAAGACGACCTTCTCATGCCCCTCGAAGGCAGCAACGATGTCGAAGACTTTTCTTTTTCCAAACATGGCAGAGTCAACAAAGTGCTGGAGCAGCGGAAGCTGCTGCTGCAGCAGATCGCGAGGCTGGGCGAGTCGGTCGAGGCCGAGCTTGCTGCTGCTGCTGCTGCTGCTGCTGGCACTGCAGCAGCAGCAGCAGCAGCGCCCGTCTCCGTCGGAGACGTCAGCTCCAGCTGCGAAGCTGCGCAGCAGTTCTTCAAATACCATATTCAGTTTCGAATAGAAAGATACATGGCAGTCCTCAACAACATCAACGAGCTGCTGCAGCAGCAGCAGCAGCAGGACTCGCAGCAGCAGCAGCAGGACCCCCTGCTGCAGCAGCAGCGCCAGCAGCAGATCCGCAAAAAGGTGGAAGCAGCTATTGAAAGGTACGAACAAGAAAGAGGCAGCAGAATATTCGTCATGCTCCCAACCAGCCGCAGACGCAGCAACCCAGAGCAGCAGCAGCAGCAGCAAGAGCAGCAGCAGCAGCAGCACCAGCAAGAGCAGCAGCAGCAGCAGCAAGAGCAGCAGCAGCAGCAGCAGCAGCAGGAGCGGCAGGAACAGCAGCAAGGGACGAAGCGTCCCTCTGCAACTCCTGCTGGCAACACCAAAAAGAAACGCCGCCAGCAGCAGCAGCAGCAGAAGAGACCCACTTCACTGTGGACGCAGCGGTGCGCTTTTGCTGCTGTTTGTTTTATTTAAATGTTTTTAATTTCTTTTTTTTAATTATTTGAACTAATTTGTTTTTGTTTAATTAATTTATTTAATTTGCTGCTTCCTTGTTGCTGCTGCTTCTCCTGCTTTTGTCTGTTTGCTTTTCTATTTTTTATTTTCTTTTTTTATTTTTCAATTTTGCTTTTTATTTTTCTGTTTTTTTTTGGTACTACAACTGCTTTTGCTGTTGCTGTTGTTGCTGCTGCTGCTGCTACTGCTGTTGCTGCTGCTGCTGCTGCTGTCGCTACTGCTTTTGCTGCTACTGTTGCTGCTGCTACTGCTGCTGCTGCTGCTGCAGCTCTTGCCGCTGCTGCAGCTCGAGCCACTGCTTCTAGTGCAGCTCCCGCTGCTGCTGCCGCAGTTCCCGCTGCTGCTGCAGCTGCTGCTGCTGCAGCTCCCGCTGCTGCTGCTGCAGCTCCTGCTGCTGCTGCTGCTGCAGCGCCTGCTGCTGCAGCTGCTGCTGCTGCTGCTGCTGCTGCTGCTGCTGCTGCTCAGACTGCGCACTTCGAGTACGGCTTGAGTCTGGAAGGTCTTTTGTTTCCCTTCACTTCTTTTTTTAGCGACGCCCCACAGCCGCTTTTTCCCGGAGACAAAGAAGCAGATGCTGCTGCTGCTGCTAGCTGCTGCCGCTACCTGGAGCGCATGCAGCAGCAGCTGCAGGACTACAGGGCCTTCGAGCTGCTGCGCACTGCAGCAGACAGAGCCGACTTCCTCCTCACGTAAACCCTCCTGCTGCTGCTGCTGCTGCTGCTGCTGCTGCTGCTGCTGTGCTCTTGCTGCTGCTGCTGCTGCTTGCTATGGCGTTGCTTCTGCCTGCTGCAGCGTGGGAACCGCATCTGGTGGTGCTGCTGCGTTTGCTGCTGTTACATTTTGTGCTGCTGCTGCCCCACGGTGCAGCAGTTGCACTTGCTGCTGCTGCTGCTGCGCTCTGTGTCCTGCTGCTGCTGCTGCTGCTGCTGTGGTGTTTGGCCTGCTGCTGCTGCTCCGCCGTCGCTCTCGCTGCTGCTGCCCTCCCCTTCTCGCTGCTGCTGCCGCGAGTCCGCCCCTGCACCTGCTGCTCCTGCCGCCCCACCCCCACCCCCACCCGGCCGCTGCTGCTGCTGCTGCTGCTGCTGCTGCTGCTGCTGCTGCTGCTGCTGCTGCTGCAGCACGCACTCGCGGATGGTGGCAATGACGTGCACGCACGCAGCAATAACGCGGGAGCGGCTGGTGAACTTGGACTTCAACTTCGACTCCTTAATCATCGAAGAAGCAGCACAAATCCTCGAAGTCGAAACTTTCATTCCCATGCTGCTGCAGAAAGCAGCAGCAGCAAAAACCTCCCGCCTCAAACGCATTGTCCTCATTGGCGACCACCACCAGCTGCCCCCCATCGTCAAACACATGGTAACCCCACCCACAAGCTAGCCAGCTAGCTAGCCAGCTGGCTAGCTGGCTAGCTGGCTGGCTGGCTGGCTAGCTAGCTCGCTAGCTAGCTCGCTAGCTAGCTGGCTAGCTAGCTGGCTAGCTAGATGGCTGGCCGGCTGGCTGGCTAGCTAGCTGGCTAGCTAGATGGCTAGCTGGCTAGCTAGCTAGCTAGATGGCTAGCAGGCTAGCTGGCTAGCTGGCTAGTTAGCTAGTTGGCTAGCTATGCTGCAACTCAGCTGGCGAGCTACTAGCTGCCTACGCACTTGTCCAGCTAGCTAGCTACCTGGCTGCCTATCCATCACCTAGCCATATATCCACCTATCCAGCTAGCCAGCTAGCTAGCCAGCTAGCCAGCTAGCTAGCTAGCTAGCTAGCTAGCTGTCCATGTGGGTGGAGTTGCTTAGCAGCAGCATAAGCAGTATGTGGCGTGGGGCCGTGGAAATTGGCCCATCCGAACCAGCGCCCCCTGCTGCTGCTGCTGCTGCTGCTGCTGCTGCTGCTGCTGCTGCTGCTCAGGCGCTGCAGCGGTTCTGCCGGCTGGACCAGTCGCTGTTTGAGCGTTTCGTGCGGCTGGGCGTGCCTTCGGTGTACCTGGACCGGCAGGGGCGGGCGCGGGGCAGCCTGGGGTGTCTGTACAGCTGGCGGTACCCCGTGCTGCAGCAGCTGGAGTTCGTGGAAGCAGCAGCAGTTTTTAAAGTTTGCAATCCGGGATTAAGTTTTCCTTTTCAGTTCATTAATGTGGAGGACTTTGGCGGCAAAGGAGAGAGCGCGCCGCTGCCGCACTTCTACCAAAACCTGGGCGAGGCCGAGTTCGTGGTTGCGGTGTACGTACACCTCAGACTCCTCGGCTACCCCAAAGACCGCATTGTGCTGCTCACTTCTTATAATGGCCAGCTGTCTTTGCTGCAGGAAGTGCTGCAGCAAAAGTGCGCCTGGAACCCCGCCATAGGACTCCCCCGCGCAGTCTCCACCGTCGACAAGTTCCAGGGGCAGCAGGGCGACTGTACGCCTCCTGCTGCTGCTGCTGCTGCTGCTGCTGCTGCTGCTGCTGCTGCTGCTGCTGGGGGTCGAGGGCGGGGTGCTGCTGCTGCTGCGGCTGGGGGAGGGGGGCGTGCTGCTGCTGCTGCTGATGGTGGTGGTGGGGGTGATGGTGGGGGTGGGGCTCTGTGGTTGTCGTGCTGCTGCTGCTGGTGTTGCTGTTGCTGTTATTATTCCTGCTGCTGCTGCTGCTGCTGCTGCTGTTGCTGCAGCACAGGGGCGTGCTGCTGTTCGATTTTGGGCGTTTTTCGACTCCTTTTTTCGATTCCTTTCTCCCTTTTTACCCTGCGCATTCAACCAATTAATTTCTCTTTATTTATTTATCTATTTATTTATTTATTTATTTATTTATTTATTTATTTTTATTTATTTATTTGCTTTTGCAGATGTTTTGCTTTCTCTTGTGCGCACAAACCGCGTGGGTCACATTCGAGATGTTCGCCGCCTTATTGTCGCCGTCAGCAGAGCCAGACTTGGTGAATTCTTTTTCTTTTTTTAATTTATTTTTATTCTTTTTTATTTCTTTTTCTTATTTTGTCTTTTATTGTTCCTTCTTTGTTGCTTTTACTCCCCTCTTAGTGCTTCTTTTTCTCCGTTTGTCTTTTTATTTTTCCCCTTTTTGCGTTTTCCACTTTTTGTTGCGTTCTCCTTTTGCGGTGTATCTACACTGTATTTACGACGTATTTGGATGTCTTTGTGGTGTATCTACGGTCTACTTGTGGTCCATTAATGGTCCATTAATGGTCCATTAATGGTTTATTAATGGTCCATTAATGGTTTATTTATGGTCTATTTATTATATATTATTGATGGTATATTTAAATTGAATATATGGTGCATTGTTTATGGTGCATTTGCAGTGTATGTACAGCTTGCCCGTGTCGGTGTCCGCGGTGTATGTACAGTGCATACACAGCCTCTGTGCCTTTCGGGGCGGCGTTGGCCGCCCATTTGTGCAGATTTTTTTGTTTTTTGTTTTTAAATGAATAAAATAATAAATGGAAATGAATTAAATCCAAAAATCCAAAAAGAAGCAGAAAATTCGCGGCAAAAGGGCGAGAAGTGAAGGCGGAAGGCCGAAAAGACGGCTGAGCCTGATCTTTTGAGTTTCTTGGCCATTTGAAGTGCTCCTTTTTCGCAAAAAAGATATTTAATTGTTTTTAATTCTTTTTTTATTTTGCTTTCGTTCAGGACTTTATATTTTTGGGCGCTGGTCGCTTTTCAGCAACTGCGTGGAACTGCTGCCGGTGTTCAGACAGCTGGCGCGCTACCCCCTTGAGCTGGCACTACACCTCGACGAAACGGACTTTCGCGAAACTTTGAGGGCTCATATTAATGCCGTTAATGAAAATAAACCGGTTAGAAACAAAAATAAATGTTCTTTTCGTTTTCTGCGTTTCTTTTTCTCTTTTTGGCGCCTCTTTTCGAGAAATTTCGGTGTCTGTACACCCCAAATTCCGCTTTTTTCCCTTTTCGCCGCTCAGCAAATTGTTTCTTTTAAATGCCACTTCTTTTAGTTTTGGTGTTTATTTCTTTTAATGTTTATTTCTTTTAATGTTTATTTCTTTTAATGTTTATTTCTTTTAATGTTTATTTCTTTTAAATGCTTTATTTCCTTCTTTTGTCCAGCCGAGGTTTCAGCTTTGAATTATTTTCGAATTTTTCCTAAAATGCGTTTTGTGAACATTTCTGCCAAATGCAATAAACGCAAATTCATTTAATGAAAATAAATTTATTTAAATGAACATTAATTCATTTAATAAACTTCAAGTCCTTTAATAAAGATTATAATTAATTAAATAGAAATTAACTCATTTAATAAAGAACAATTCAGTTAATAAATATTAATTCATTAAACAAACGCAAATGAAGACACATTAGTTCATTTAGCAAAAACTGATTCATTTACTAAAAATTAATTCATTAAAAAAGTTTTAAAAATGTTTTAAGTCTTTTGTCTCTCAGATTCCGAAACTGGAAACTGTTTTGTCTTTTTCTCATCAAATTAATTTAATTAAAAAACAATTCCAAATTATTTCCTTTTTCATTTATATTCTTTTCTGCACTCCAGCACTGTTCCTTCTCTCGCTTTCTCTTACCCTCCTGCTGCTGCCGCTGCCACCTGCTGCTGCTGCTGCTGCTGCTGCTGCCACCTGCTGCTGCTGCTGCTGCTGTCACCTGCTGCTGCTGCTGCTGCTGCTGCTGCTGCTGCGCGCAGTTGCCTCCCCGGGGCCCCATTACGTACGTGCGCACTGTAGAGCAGATGCAGCAGCTAGTGCAGCAGCAAGCAGCTCGTCGCGTTGCTGCTTTGAAGCAGCAGCTGCTGCGGCCGCAGCTGCTGCAGCTGCCGCAGCAGCCAGAAGCAGCAGCAGAAGCAGAAGCAGCAAGACTTGCTGCTCTTGAACCCCAAGAGACACACAGGGCCCCCCCAGGCCTTTTGGGGGCCCTAGGCTCTCAAGTGCCTCCCCCGCAGCCGCTGCAGGAAGAGGAGCTTGCTGCTGCTGCTGCTGCTGCTGCTGCTGAGCCAGAAGCAGCAGCAGCAGCAGCAGCTGACGCTGCTGCAGCAGAAAGGGATTCTTCAGCAGCAGCAGCAGATGCGCCAGCAGCTGCAGGAGATGCGCCAGCATCAGCAGAAGATGGAGCAGCAGCAGCAGCAGCAGCAGCAAAAGGGACTGTAGACGACAGAGCAAAGGAAGGAGAGACAGCAGCAGCAGAATCAGCAGCAGCAGCAGCAGCAGCAGAATCAGCAGCAGCAGCAGCACCTAGGGATTAAATTCAAATACTAAATCTTTTATAAAAGAAAATCTCCAGAGAAAATGAGAAAAAGAAAATAAATGAACTTCTTGGCAGCACAGGGGGTGCGAGCCGAGGTGTAAATACACCTCATCGAGGGCTGAGGGTTTAGGGTTTAGGGTTTAGGGTTTAGGGTTTAGGGTTTAGGGTTTAGGGTTTAGGGTTTGGGTGCATCTGGGGCTTCTTTTCGCGCTGCTGCCTGTGCTGGGGTGTATAGGCAGCTCTTTCATTTTAAACGACGAATTTTTTATTTAATTTATGAAAACAAAATAAAATAAATTTAATTAATTAAAATAAATAAATTAAAATAAATAAATCAAATAAATAAATAAAAGGTAATTTATATTCGTAGAGATTTAGCCCTGACCGTAAACCCTAAACCCTAGACTGTAGCTCCATAGAAGTTGCTGCGAAGCCTGAAGCAGCAGAAACTCAGCAACAGCTGCTGTGCTTGCTGCTGCTGCTGCTGCTGCTGCTGCTGCTACTACTAATCCAACTGCTGCTGCTTCTACTCCAACTGCTGCTGCTGCTACTACTCGAACTGTTGCTTCTGCTGCTGCTGCTGCTACTCCAACTGCTGCTGCTGCTACTACTCAAACTGTTGCTTCTGCTGCTGCTGCTACTCCATCTGCTGCTGCTGCTACTACTCGAACTGTTGCTTCAGCTGCTGCTGCTGCTATTCCAACTGCTGCTGCTGCTACTACTACTTGAACTGTTGTTTCTGCTACTGCTGCTGCTGCTTCCACTGCTGCTGCTACTACTCCAACTGCTGATGCAGCTTCTGCTGCTGCTGCTACTACTTCAACTGCTGCTGCTGCTGCTGCTGCTACTTCAACTGCTGCTGCTGCTGCTGCGGTGAGCTTTTGCTCAGCCAGCAGCAGCAATTACATCCCAGAGGCGAACTTGAATCTAAGCGGCGAAGCAAAAATGAGAAAAGAACAAAAAACAAAATTAAGAATGAAAAGAAACAGAATAAAAGCAATTAAAACAAAAAGCTGCTGCAGCAGCTGCTGCAGCAGCTCAGCGGAAGCTGCAGCAGCTGCTGCAGCAGCTGCTGCAGCAGCTGCTGCAGCAGGTGCTGCAGCAGCTCAGCGGCAGCAAAGAGGTGCTTTGCTGCTGCTGAGACTGCTGCTGCTTTTGCAGTTGCTGCTGCAGCTGCTGCTTGCGTCGTTGCTGCTGCTGCTGTTCCGGTTGCTGCTGTCGAAACTGCTACTACTAGCTGTGTTGCTGCTAGCATCACTGCTGCTGCTGCTGCTGCTGCCGACATTGCTGCTGCCGACTTTGCTGCTGCTGTTGCTACTGCAGTTACCAGCTTTTGCGATCTTTGGGTATATCCGTCCCTGCAAAAGCAGCAGCAGCAGCAGCAGCAGCAGCAGCAGCAGCAGCAACATTGATGTTTTTAATTTGCTCATTGTTTCATTTGCTTGTTTCTTCACTAGCTTATATCTATTTGTTATTTATTTATTTATCTTATTTATTATTTATTTATTTATTTTATTTATTATTTATTTATTTATTTATTTATTTATTATTTTAATTTCTTCTTTTACCTAAAAGACATTTTATTTCGCTTTCCTTCGGCAGCACCTCCACGCGCTCTCCTAAAGACAAAAAATAAAACAAAAAATAAATAAATAAATAAATAAATAAATAAATAAATAAATAAATAAATAAATATAATTAATTAATTAATTAATTAATTAATTAATTAATTAATTAATTAATTAATTAATTAATTAATTAATTAATTAATTGATTAAAATATTTAAAAGAAATTAAAAAGTTAATTAATTAATTAATTAATTAATTAAAATATTTAAAAGAAATTAAAAAGAATTAAATAATTGCCTTTGAAGATTAAGTCAAAACCCCCGATGGCCTTCTCCTCCCCAGTCAAACTGCAGCAGCGAAACAAACAAAAGATTTTTATTTTAATTAATTAATTATATTTAATTTAATTTATTTAATTTATTTAATTTATTTGATTTATTTGATTTATTTAATTTATTTAATTCAATTTAATCAATTCAATTAAATTAATTCATTAAATGTCATTTAATTTCATTTTGCTTAATTGAAAGAAATGAAATGCGCCAGAAAGCTGCGGCGCAGACAGTACGCCTTGAAAAGCTGCTGCTGCTGCTGTGCTGCTGCTGCTGCAGCTACTGCAGCAGCAGCTGCTGCTGCTCCTACTCTTCCAGTTGCTGCACTGCTGATATTGCTAATGTTGTGTTTTGCTGCTGCTGCTACTGCTCTCGTTGCTACTGCTTCTGCTGTTTCTGCCGTAGCTGCTGTTATTGTTGCTGCTGCTGCTACTGCTGCGGCTGCCGCTGCTGCTTCTGCTGCTGCTGCTGCTGCTGCTGCTGCTGCTCACAGGTTTTCCATGTCTACGATGGTCAAGAGGTCGTCTAGCATTTCAAATTTGAACTTGTAGTCTTCTTCAGTTGTTGCTAAGCACAAGCAGCAGCAGCAGCAGCAGCAGCAGCAGATACTGTAGCAGAAGCAGCAGCAGATGCATGCAGCAACAACAGGTGCAGCAGGTGCAGCGGTTGCAGCAGATGTAGAAGCAGCAGCATATGGAGGATCCGCAGCTACAACTGCTGCAGCAGAAGCAGAAGCAGCAGCAGATGCAGATGTATCAGCAGCAGATGCAGCAGCAGCAGATGCAGCAGCAGCAGCAGCAGCAGCAGAGCAGGTGTGCTTGGAGATGTGCAGCAGCAGGAGCAACAGCAGAGCAGCAGCAGCAACAGAAGCAGCAACAGCAACAATAACAACAGCAGCAGCAGCAACAGCAGCAGGAAGCTGCTGCCATTCTCTTCATGAAGAGGGGCAAAGTAACCAAGCCGATACTATTGCTGTTGCTGCTGCTGCTCTTGCTGATGCTACTACTGCCGCTGCTGCCATTGCTGCTGCTGCTGCTGCTGCTGCTGCTGCGATTCCTGCTGCTGCTGCTGCAGCAGCGCCGCTTGTTGTTCGCACCTGTTAACGAAGGTGAAGCGTTTACTTCCAGCAGCCAGGGCCTGCAGCAGCAGCAGCAGCAGCGGAAGCAGCAGCAGCAGCAGCAGCAGCAATAGCAGCATTAGCAGCAGCAGCAGATGATCTTCAGCATGATCATCATCAGCAGCAGCAGCAGCAACAGCAGCAAAAGCAGCAGCTGCTGCTGCTGCTTGCAAGGAAAACGCTTTATTTCATTTAATACTTCAAATTTAATTTTATTGTTTTGCACTATTATAATTTGGTAATTTAGTATAAAATGCTTTTGCTTTTTCTTGCAAGTTTAATTATTAATTTTTCAATTATTTGGCATTTAATTTTTCCACTTGAATTTAATTTGATTTAATTCAATTAATTTAAATTAATTTCATTTAATTTATTTAATCAAATTATTTTATTTTTTATTTGTTATTTCTCACTTCAAGTTTGCGTCCACGATGATGTCATAGCCGTAAAGTTCGCAGCAATGTTTGTCATTTAAAATTATCTGAAAAGATATTCAATTTAATTAATTAATTAATTAATTAATTAATTAATTAATTAACTAGTTATTTAATTAATTAATTAATTAATTAATTAATTAATTAATTAATTAATTAATTAATTAATAAGATATTAATGATTTGATTAATTAATTAATTAGTTCACTAATTAATTAATTAATTGATTAATTAATTAATTATTGTTTATTTATTATTTGGTTATTCTTTTATTTATTTATTCGTTTAGTTGTTTGTTTGTTTCTTTAGTTATTTATTTATTTCAATTAAATAAATAAATAATTAGGTAATTTGTATTTTTAGTAACTGGACCAATTTGCCTGCTTTTTATTTATTTTAATATTTATTTATTATTGAATTTTTAAATTTTTATTACTCGTTTATCATTTATGTTTATATTCAGTGCTTGATTACTATTTATTTGTTATTATTTATTAATATTTAATGTTATTTATTATTGCTTGTTATTATTTATTATTGTTTATTTATTGTTATTTTTTATCTTTATTTCCGTATGCTCTTTTATTTATCAATTATTTATTACTTGCTGTTCATCATTAATTCATAATTCATTTACAAATAATTATCAATTATTTGTCTATTATTACCGATCATTTAATTATTTTTATTCATTAATTATTCATTAGTGAATTGTTTATTTATTATTATCAATTTCAAAAAGAATACTTATTTATTTTTGTTAATTAATTATTTAGTATTACAAATACGTTATATATTATCACTAATTATAAGAATATAATTTAATTTTTTTCGTTAATTTTTGTTCGTTGTCATTCATGAGTTATTTAATATTATTAATTATAAGATCATTTGATTATTTTAATTAACTAATCATTTATTATTATTAATTATTTATTACTAGTAAGTTATTTATTATTATTTATTATAAATAGATTATTTAGTTATTTTCTTTTCACCTTTTGTACGGCCAGAAGGGACTTGAGAATAATTTCTTGAATATTTTTCATCAGCTCTTCTATGGGGGCCTCTCCATACCTGCAGCATTTGAATAACTAATTAAAAATGAGTTCTTTCATCTATTTATTTATTTATTTATTTATTTATTTGTTTATTTATCTATTTATTATTTATTTATTTATTTATTTGGTTATTTAGTTATTTAGTTATTTAAAAGAATCAACCTTTTGGTGTACGTACACCGCAAGAAGGCGGTTCGATGATAAGGAGATTTTGGCCAAAATGCGTTAATTTTGGGAGTTTTTTTTGCAAATTAATTCATTTAATTCCATTTTTTGAAGTTTTTTTGGCAAATGAATTCCTTTTATTCTTTTAAATGATATTAATTGGAAAAAAACGCGCAAAAAGAGGTATTTACTTGCTTTTCAAAAAAAGTTTCAAACTTCTCAACGCCCACTTCCCCCCCGTTTCCTCGTCGTAGGTTTCCAGTGTCTTTTGAACTGCCACGTTAGTCAGGTGTACGCCTTTTGAAGTAAAACAAAACAATTATTTAATTATTCATTATTTAAATAATTATTTAATTAAATAATTATTTAATTATTTAATTATTTAATTATAAAGTTATTTAATTATTTAAACAATTATTTAATTGTTCATTATTTAAATAATTACTTAATTATTCAATTATTTAATTATTTCATTATTCAGTTATTTAATTATTAAATAATTATTTAATTATTCAGTTTTTTAAATAATTATTTAATTATTTAATTATTTAATTATTCAGTTATTTGATTATTTAAATAATTATTTAATTATTCAATTATTTAAATAATCATTTAATTATTTGGTTATTTAATTACTTAATCATTTAATTATTCAGTTATTTAATTATTTTAATAATTATTTAATTATTCAGTTATTTAAATAATTATTTAATTATTTAATTATTTAAACATTCAATTATTCAGTTATTTAATTGTTTAAATAATTATTTCATTATTCATTTATTTAAGTATTAAACAATTATTTAATTATTGAGTTATTTAATTATTTAAATAATTAATTAATTATTCAGTTATCTAGTTGTTTAAATAATTATTCAATTATTTAATTATTTAATTATTCAGTTATTTAATTATTTAATTACTTAATTGATTAAATGATTAAATGAATATTCAACTATATAATTATTTAAATAATTTTTTTGTTATTTAATTATTTAATCACTCAAATAATTAAATTAAAACTTATTATTTAATTATTTAAATAACTAAATGAATATTTTATTGTTTAATTATTTAATTAAATCAATGAATATTTATTTTACTTAATTTATTAAATAATTGAATATTTATTTAAGTATTTGAAAAATTGAATTCTTTTTTATTTTTTAATTGAATTAAATCGATAAAACGAATCAATTTATCTTCCGCTTTCCTGCATGTATTTCCTATGTACTTAAAAGGACAAAGAATGATATTTAATTATTTAATTATTTTAATAACTAAGTATTCATTTAAGTATTTGCACAATTATATTATTTAATTTACTTAATTAAATTGAACAAATTAAAAATTTTTTCGGCTTTCCCGCATTTAAAAAAAACAGTTCAATTTTTAAAGGACAAAATTCCCTCAGCGCTTTTTTGAATTAAATGAAAACCATTTAAAAACAAATTAAATAATTCACTTTAACATTGAATTACTGGAATAAATATTAAATCACTTGAATAAATATTTAATCATTTAAATAAATATTAAATTATTTATTAACTGGATAATAAATAATTCAATTAAATGTTACATTATTTAGTTGAATATTAAACAGTTCAATGCAGTATTAATTCCTTTAATTAAATACTAGATGATTTAATTGAACATTAAACAGTTTAATTAAATACTAAACAATTTATTTGAAATTAAATAATTTAATTAAAATTAAATCATTAAATTCATTTCGCGCCTTTTTTCGGATTTTTTAATTTATTGCGACGCTGCTTTTGCATTTATTATTTTATACTATTCTATATTTATCCATTCATTTATTTATTATTTATTTATTTATTCATTTATTTATTTATTTATTTATTTATTCATTTATTTATTTATTTATTTATTTATTTATTTATTTATTATGACATTCAGTAAATTTATTTACTTGTTTGTTTATTTTTTAATGAGTTAACTGTTTATTTATTATTCCATTCTGCAGTCTGCTTTTGCGCGACGTTGGAATCTTTTAAAAGGCAAAAATGATAATTGAAATAAAAGAATAATATTTAAATTTATTATTATTTAATAATATTTTCTTTTAATATTATTTTATTTTATTTGTAATAAAAAATTATTTTTTTTACTTAAATTATTTCTTTGCCCTTCTTGCAAACTAAAAGGGACACTCGAAAAACGCGCGAAGCCGCCCCGGTATAAATAAGCTGTCTGCAGCAGCAGCAGCAGCAGCAGCAGCAGCAAAAGCAGCAAAAGCAGCCGCAGCAGCAGCAGCAGCAGCAGCAGCAAAAGCAGCAAAAGCAGCCGCAGCAGCAAAAGCAGCAGCAGCAGCAGCAAAAGCAGCAAAAGCAGCCGCAGCAGCAAAAGCAGCAGCAGCAGCAAAGGAAGCAGCAGAAGAAGCACTTGCAGCAGAACATGCAACAGCAACAAATTTGGTGAAGGATGCACAGGGAGATTGTGAACAGATTTGCTGCTGCTGCTGCTGCTGCTGCTGCTGGAGAACAGCAGCAACAGCAGCAGCAGCAAACGCAACAGCAGTTGCAGCAGCAGCAAACCCTAAACCCTAAACCCTAAACCCTCAAAAAAAGACTTACCAAAGGCATAAAAGACTTCACGAAGCAAAACAGCCGCAAATCAAATTTCTTTCCTACAAACAAATTAATAACAAACTAATTAACTAACTGATTAATTAATTAACTAATTAATTAATCAATTAACTAATTAATAAATGAACTAGTTATTTAATTAATAATTAACTAATTATTCGGCTATTTAATTTATTAATCATTTTTAATTAATTAACTCCTATTGTATGCCTCTAGTGCTAAACCCTAAACCCTTGTGTGCATGCAGAATTTCATAAACCCTAGGCAAAAAGCCATTCTTAAAAACCCCCAAGCCCTAAACCCTAAACCCTAAACCCTAAACCCTAAACCCTAAACCCTAAACCCTAGGGGTTTACCGCCAATGATCAGGGGGTCTTGAATGTACTTTTGGCAAACATAAGCTTCTGCTGCTTGTTCATTTTCTTCTGCTGCTTTTAGGGTTTGAGGGTTTGCTGCTTTTGCTTCCGAGCTCCTGCTGCACTTCGCGTCTCCTCTCCACTCCCTGAAACCCCAAAACCCTAAACCCTAAACCCTAAACCCTAAACCCTAAACCCTAAACCCTAAACCCTAAACCCTAAACCGTGGGTGGAGCAGCGGGCAAACCTGGGGCCGCTGGAAGTCAGAGCTTGCAGCGAAGACGCAGTCTAGGGTTTAGGTTTTAGGGTTTAGGGTTTAGGGTTTGGAGAGCTAAAAGAGACATTACATGAATTGAAATTG